GTATTTTTCAATGAAATAACATGTACATGTATAACAACTTGATAACAGCAATTATAAGTTTAAAAGAACACAATTTGTACAATGTATTTAAATTACATTATGAGTAATGAAAAATAAATTGCACATTCTCAAATAGGCGGCAAAAGCATAAAATAAAACAAAGATAATGATTAACATAACCACATGAAAACTGATAATACAAATTAAGATAAAAGAGCATGAACCAATTAAATTTTGTTGTCATATTATTCTTAATTTATATAAGCCAAGTGTGATACTACATGCACAAATAATCATGTTTGCATACAAAACCCACGTATCTAAATTGAATAAGAAATAACATGTTAGAATATTGAACAAACAAAATACGAACTGACGGATATTCCATATTCCATAAACCCAATCCATTAAATAGTCGGAAATAGTCTGATCGAAACACAATTGATACGACCAACGTCATCAAATGTCAATATATATGACGTGGTCTAGTCTAGAGGAAAACTAAACGGATTTTACTCAATACAAGATTGGGGCAGTTTTTGACATTTTTCGTTTATAATCATATATAAATCGATGTGAATAGATGAATTAGAGACCGCTATTCCATTGGTACGCGATCCGTAACCCGCCTCCGTAATCCGTGTCCGGTGCATGTCTGTGAGTATTATTCCATACGTTACGTTATTTTCTATATACTTAAGAAATAATATATCCCAAACTGTGATTTTATCGCTCAATAACATCACTGTTTGGAGTTCGGATGCGAGGAATTATATCACGAGGGCGTAGCCCGAGTGATATAATGATGCGCATCCGAACGACAAACAGTGATGTTATCCAGCGATAAAATCACCAATTTGGATATATTATTTCGATTCTAACACGACATAAACAAAAAAATGCTGCCGTACCTGCTATTAAGCAAAATTGCGCCTGATTTGTTTCCGTACTTATTGTCAGCGCGTCGGATTTTATAGTGGTTACGTCACATGTATAATGATTACGTCACATGTCTAAATATAGAACGTCAAACAGTGACTCTATTGCATAATAACACACACTTTCGGTTCTTCTATGTTCAATAGGGAAAAATGCGGGTCGTGTTAGAATTTTAATTATAGTATAGCGAACAGAGGATAATTATTTGTAGAATATGATATAATTTCATTCTAATACTAAAACCAGTTGTAACAATAAAGAATTAGGTTAAAAGAAAAAGGAAAAACATTGAATACAATATTTTGGTGAGCTTTTTAGTATTTTCTTTCGAAATCGATAAAGTATTTAATTTCGTTCGAGATATTTTGTCGTGACGAGACCTGTCCGTGATTGTCCGCGTTGGTAAAATCGCTCATACTGCGAAACGTCGCGGATGCCGTCGCGGAAGCGGAAAGGAATATATTTGAAACGTATTCTTTGATAAGCGAATCGGTAGCGGACGTGGATGACGGACGCGGACCACTGATCACGTATAAATGGAATAGCAGCCTTTAGACGTTTTAAAATACATTCCGTAAGATGAAAAGGCGAGATTTTAGCAATTTCAGCATTTAACCATTCAAGGTGTCTTGTCCGGTATGCACCATATACGGTAATTAGTCTGGTGCTCCAATCCTTGTTTTTTTTAGTCTCACGTCAGTCTGACGTAGGATCCATTTGATAAGGTTTCTCGAGTAACAGGCTTCTGCGATTGTATGTTTCCATATCAAGCCAAAGTTGATATCGCAATGTGTGTATGTTCGTTGAAGAAAAGCAGGTTATATAGATTTAATTCGGGTATGCTTCTTTAATTATTATTGCCCCATGTAGATGTTTTCATTGTTTTGTTAAGGGTATGTCACAATATGTTACTTTATTCGTGGGAGTGTATGAGAGAAAGACGTACATATACGTTTTATAGGAAAATACTTTATGAGAGATAGACGCACTATACGTTTTATAGGAAAACACTATATTCGTGGGAGTGTATGAGAGAAAGACGCACATATACGTTTGATAGGAAAATACTTTATGGGAGATAGAAGCACTATCTGTTTTATTGGAAAACACTTTATAAAAGATAGACGCAATATACGTTTGACAGGAAAACACTTTATTCGTGGGAGTGTATGAGAGATAGTCGCACTATACGTTTTATAGGAAAATACTTTAATCGTGGTTGTGTATGAGAGATAGACGCACTATACGTTTTGTAGGAAAATACTTTAATCGTGGATGTGTATGATAGATAGACGCACTATACGTTTTATAGGAAAATACTTTAATCGTGGTTGTGTATGAGAGATAGACGCACTATACGTTTTATAGGAAAACACTTTAATCGTGGATGTGTATGATAGATAGACGCACTATACGTTTTACAGGAAAATACTTTAATCGTGGTTGTGTATGAGAGATAGACGCACTATACGTTTTATAGGAAAACACTTTATTCGTGGATTTATGAGAGATAGACGCACTATACGTTTTATAGGGAAATACTTTTTTCGTGGGAGTGTATGAGAAATGGACGCACTATACGTTTTATAGGAAAATACTTTATTCGTGGATGTGTATGATAGATAGACGCAATATACGTTTTATAGGAAAACACTTTATTCGTGGGAGTGTATGAGAGATAGACGCACTATACGTTTTATAGGAAAACACTTTAATCGTGGATGCGTATGATAGATAGACGCAATATACGTTTTATAGGAAAACACTTTATTCGTGGAGAGTATGAGAGATGGGCGCACTATACGTTTTATAGGAAAATACTTTAATCGTGGATGCGTATGAGAGATAGACGCACAATACGTTTTATAGGAAAACACTATTCGTGGGGGTGTATGAGAGATGGGCGCACTATACGTTTTATAGGAAAATACTTTAATCGTGGATGCGTATGAGAGATAGACGCACAATACGTTTTATAGGAAAACACTTTATTCGTGGGGGTGTATGAGAGATAGACGCACTATACGTTTTATAGGAAAACACTTTATTCGTGGGAGTGTATGAGAGATAGACACACTATATGTTTTATAGGAAAATACTTTATTCGTGGGGGTGTATGATAGATAGACGCACTATACGTTTTATAGGAAAACACTTTATTCGTGGGAGTGTATGAGAGATAGACACACTATATGTTTTATAGGAAAATACTTTATTCGTGGGGGTGTATGATAGATAGACGCACTATACGTTTTATAGGAAAACACTTTATTCGTGGGAGTGTATGAGAGATAGACACACAATACCCGATATTTTTTTAATCGTTTACCCAGTCTTTTCGTCTTGTTGTCATTATTTTTCCGCGAGCTGAGGGTGGTAATAAGTGAAAGAACAAGATATTTAATTGTTAGTTATGAAACGCCGTAGGTACAAAGAAGGAAATTAATCAGTAAAGAAATAAGGAAATTACAAGAAATTTGGTATTGCCAACTTAAATCTCATAATGTAATATGCATCCAATTTGTGATAACAATGTAAAAAAATATTTTCCCTTTTCACGTATTTTTAATGCGCAGATAGACAGATATAGCTCGGACATAAATAAAATGAATTTAATAGTTAAAACATCAAGGGCGATAAATCTTAACAATTTAAATCAAAAGCAGCTCGCAACGGTTATCTCCCTTTTAGTTCTTTCCTTGATTGTTAAGCATATGTAGTGTTCAATCACGTATTATACCAGAGAAGTATATTACTCACGTGTTCATTCGCGTTTGCATCTATGTGCGTGTATTAAGGTGGTCACTGGTCCTGGTATGACAAGGTCCAATCAATGAGTGGCCAGGCTCACATGTAACGATTTAACTTCTGCCGTTATTTTTGACGACGTCTTCCACTGCATGGATGGCGTCATTATCAGACCGAAAGTGGGTACCGGAAATTGGCTGTATCAATTTTGTTAATAGATGAAAGTCTGTTTGAGCGCAGGCAATGATGGCGGATGTTGTATTATTTGAATTATTTCAAATCCACAACCAAGCCGATGACAGATTTGTGGGCAGGGTCATTGTCCTCATTGAACAACATATCTTTAATATGTTTTTCGCAGTATCTGAGTTTAACATTTTGCTCTTTACTGCCTAAGACGTGATGCATTATGCATGTTTTTGTCATCCCATAAGCGGATACTTTAACAACAAAATACTATCATCATATAAGAAAAAGAGACATAACCTTTTAAACTAAGTCTTCTGTGGCGGGGTTGACCCAGGGTGCTTCAGTTGTTAAGGCTATTGTTAGGTGACTATTGTGAAATGATAGATACCCGTTACATCCAATGTCGCAAACCTCAGGCAAATGAAATTCTTTCCATCGATTATTGACGATTAGTACGTGTATTATCTTTACAATGCGTGATTTTTTGCTTTGAAGTGAAGAAGAGGAAGGGGAAAATACAATGTACTTTTGCTAAGTCATTACTTGTGAAAAGACATTTTGTTTTCTATCATTGCCAGAAACCAATTTAACACAATAAATCAACGGAACATCCTCGGTTATTATCTATAATAACCTCGGATTGAAAGTAGTTCTACCGAGAGTGTAATCATGATAATATAAAACGAATGTTATGACATTTGACATCTAAAGAAAAAATAAGTTTGTTTCGGTACAATTATGATTGAAAATATGTCTGAAAACCATTTTAATTTATGTACAATTTTAAAGAAATGCGACTTAAAGTCAACAGGTTGGCATTTGTACTTTCGGTTTCTACAACCATACTGTAAAAATAAGTTTATAAATAATATATTGTTTACTATTATATCTAATAATTTACTTATTTAGGTGGACTTCTAATTGATATATTGGATTTAAAAAAAATTGTCAACAACTGTCAGCATTAAATTACTGTTTGTTTACATGTTTAGTTTCTTCGCGTAGGTTAGACCAAAATACCGTATTCATACTATTTTTTCCGAAGACTAACGGAAAGGGCCGAAAAGATGCGATTGACAATACTATCTTTTTATATTGCGCAATATTGTAGAAACATTTCATTCGATCTAAATAAACTGCTTCTTCCACACATTATGAAATGAAATATTTTATTTTACAGTTGAATTTATTTGTTTATCTGTGGATATTATATTTCCTGGTGATATTTGGTAAGCAAACATATGACATTGTACTATAATTCCATTATTTACCCATCCAGTGTCTGCTCTTATTGATTTTTATTATTTCTCCATTTCTGTTTTTGATTACATTTAACTTTGTTTTGATTTTAAACTAGACAATTATAATCGGATCAAACGTTGATATCAAACGCTGATATATTGTGGAATTCTTCCTCTCACGAGTGTGATGGTTTTCAAAATGAATGCTTATATCTCTGTAACGTTTAAAATTATTATCTAAATGGGGGGGGGGGGGGAATGCTAATTAAGAACCAACATTTGAACTAATGTATGAATGACGTCACGTAAGCAGAGCAGTAGGGAATAGCGTGTGAGCAACGCTACTATGGCACCAATTGACATTTTAAACTTTACTTGAAAAACAAAATCAGACATAAAAGGTAAAAGGCAATTTGTGTATAAATGTCAAACTAGATTAAGAAACGGTGATGACAGAATATCGTATAATAACGCTCCAGAAGACCAAAAGTAGCATGGTCAAATTATCGTAGATTGCGTTTATACAACAATCTTTGAAAAAGAACCAGTGACATATTTGTTTTTAAATCATAATTTTAAATATGAAATTCTTAAAGTAATAGCAAAGGAACATAACGTGTATCTCCAGATAGGTAACACTGCTGTTGAAATCGGAAGAAATTGAATAGCGGGTAAACATGAAGTTAATTTGACGCTGTCAAAGTCATGACGATGTATATAATTATATTGTATGTAAATACTGTTAGAATACAAACGTAAGTCACAGTTCAATAATTTTGGATAAATGTGTTCAAAAGATATGTATAATTATATTTTGCTGACAAAATTTGTAAAACGTATGTATTGTTATACAATAAAAAATGAAGAAGTATAATTGAGCCGTGTCATGACAAAACCAACATAATGGGTTTGCGACCAGCATGGATCCTGATCAGACTGCATATCCGCGCAGTGTGATCAGGATCCATGCTGTTCGCTATCAGTTTCTCTACTTGTAATAGGGTTTGTAAGCGAACAGCATGGATCCTGATCAGACTGCGCGGATGCGCAGGCTGGTCTGGATCCATGCTGGTCGCAAACCCATTATGTTGGTTTTGTCACGACACGGCTCATATGAACTTCCAAGACATCCCTTGTAGTTTGACAAATGTCTTAGGTATACAGAATATGAAAAAGTATAGTTTAAAATGTGTTAAATGTACATATCTATTTGACGAAACACAAAAGTCACCTTCAAAACGGTAATTATGTTGTCTTTTTCACGAATGATCTTAAAAAATAAACATATTCCAGATAAAAAATGTATTGTTGGTTAAAGTATAATGTCGTAACAGCCGTATCCGCTAATAAATTTCTTAAAATTTAATTTAGAATAGTTTTGGTTCGTAGCGTTACTTTTACGTTAATTCTACATTCCTGCGTTACTAGATATGCACGGTAGATAAGAAATGTAAATATTATGAGCTATTCTATTGGACAATAAGGACATACTGTTTGGTTATAACAATATCATATCCGCAATTAATAATTTAAGCTCGATGATTGGCAAATTGTTTTACTGACGCAACCGGATGTTAACTTGTAGCATCCGCTTATAACCGGAACACGATAAACAAAACAAAACGTACTTCTGTTCTAACAATACAAACATACAAACGATAAACATAGATAAACTGCCAAATTATTGTCATTAAAGATATGTATATACGCGTTAATTATATTTTATTAGATATTTTCGTCATTTGACTCTTTAGCATATCATAATTATATGAAAGAAAGGACTAATGGAATTTTTTTCAGCTAAAAATTTTTCATTTTAAAACACAACAAATTGCTTTACAACCTTAAAATCGTGAACCAGAAAGACAAAAAATACTCAGAATGGATCGTTTGTAATTACGATGACTTGGATGGGCGATTATTATCGAGAATAAACGAGTTAAAATGGCGGGGGCGTGGAGCGAAAACACGCTAATTAGCGGGGGGGGGGGGGGGGCGCGGGGCGAAAAGTCGAGATTTTTTGTAATTAGGCGGGGTCGCGACTCTCGACTTCTCGCCCTGCACCCCCACTTATTAAGTTGTTTTCGCTCCGCGCCCCTGCCGTTTTATACATTTAATATTAGAGTGAGGCTTGGGGCACCACACTGTATACCGTACTCCGGTACATAGTGGACAAGACGCTTGAATGTTTAAATGCTAAAATCTCGCCTTTTCACCTTACGGATTGAACTTTAAAAGGTCTACTTCATCTTTTTACACCGATTTATGTATGATAGTGAAAGAAAATGTAATAATCGGCGAAAAAAAACCCGATATTTTGTCTATTTTGTGATCATGAATTCTGCAAGCGTCTAGAGATACTGCTCGTTTGACTATTGTTTTAGAAAATAATTTTATACATACATGTATATAAAATTTCACTCAAGTGTGGTAACAACCCTTATTACAAAATACAGGATATTTAATTATAAACAAAGGCAGTGTGTACTCTATAGAGTACTTATACATGTACATACATGTATATTTTGAATAACGGATGTATTTAAATTTGTCATCCGTTCAAAAATAAAGTGTATTTTGGTAATATTGTGATTGAAAAATATGTCTGACATTCGGAATCACTTTTAAGAAAACATTAGGACATATAATTATAATCGGCAATGTCATTTGTATTAACGGTTTTATATTAAAATTTTATATAATATAAAAGATACGTTTTGCTTAAATATAACTTTTAAATGAGCCGCGTCATGACAAAACCAACATAATGGGTTTGCGACCAGCATGGATACAGACCAGCCTGCGCATCCGCTCAGGCTGATCAAGATCAATGCTGTTCGCTATCAGTTTCTCTACTTGTAATTGAGTCGGTAAGCGAACAGCATGGGTCCTGACCAGACTGCGCGGATGCGCAGGCTGGTCTGGATCCATGCTGGTCGCAAACCCATTATGTTGGTTTTGTCATGACGCGGCTCAAATTGCTTAGTTATACGATATCCTTAGAAAGACGGTTGCTTCGGTGTCACGTGCCTTTTCGCAGAAAAATATATTTTTTTTTCGAAAAAGAGGCCATTTTTTCTATCATCTGTGACCTGTTTTTGACCCTGGTTACTTTGTCTAACATTCATTGAATTGAATGAAGAAAAAAATGGCACCAAATTTAAACAAAATTCCACAGGCGTTAGTACCGCAGTCGGTTGTCAGAGCAACATTTGCACTTTGGCGAAATTCGTGTGCCGCGTGATTTTAAATGGCTTCTCAGACAACTTTCAATGACCCTGGTCACGAGACATTCTTTAGTACGATACATGTGTGTCTAACTGCTAGTATCAGACCCCTGTTATGAAAGTTCAGCTGAGATCTACGGAAGCTCAAAATTGCCAACTTGTCTATAGGTTTTATAACGTTACAGGCGTCGAAAGGATATATAGAGAGAAATAAAGTAGAAACACGAAAACATGACCGCAGATAACCCAAAAGCGTGTTTTCAAGTGTGTGCAATAATAGCATTTATAGTATAACATCTATAACAAATTAAATATTAATGCTGTACATCAAAGACGCCGCCAAATGATATGAACAGTCAATCAGCATTGAAAATCGTTCTCTATTTCAGTTGAATATCTGAAGCACAAATAAATTTTTCTCCATGTTCTTGGTATGTGCTTATTGTTTAATAATTAAGTTGCATATTTTTGTGAAAAAGTAGAACCTTATGCATAAATTCACAAAGTAATGCCATGTCTGAAATTCTGAAATGTTTGTCTGTTGCGAACAAGATTGAAAACGTCTGGTCGAGGCAAAATTAATTGGATAACAAGTAAAATTGAAATGATTTGTATACTTAAAATAAATTAAAGACAATATGTGCCGAGAATATGTCCATATAAATATTGGTACGAATTGCATAATGTTCGCATGATTTTGAGGACGAACTGTTCTGCAGTGATCTCCCCTTACTGCCCGCGCAGGGTTTGGCGTACTTTCTTAACGGTTGAGGGAGAACCGCCTCTCTGATAGTGGGCGTGTTTTAGGCTTTGTAACTTGAAATTTTAATTATTCGACAAGTGATATTGATTCAAAGTTGTCCTGGTTCCCTTCCGCCCAGTCAACGAAGACTAAATGCTAGCATACGAAGCATCATATTAAATTTGGCGACAATTTAAGGCGGGGCCGAACTTCATCAGAGGCGACGCAAATAAAGTGAGTGACACTGTCTCGGTGGTAACTCTCTCAACTGTGAAGTTTTAGAACGATCGACTATAGGACTGGCTCTTTGGCATGTTACTTATTATGTAGATGAAATAAGATAATGATAAAAAAGAATATGATATTCAAACATGGCACTGTCACTTCAGTTATACGTTTATTCTAATCCCTTAAAGCTCTGTGACATGTTGTACATCAGAAAAACTATTTTTATTAGTAAATTTGAAAACAGTGTGATTTTGTAAAAAAAAAGTACACAAAGCAGGTCTAAAATTTTCCCCATTGCTGTATGGACAAATGCATATATATAATAAATGACAAATTGTATTTCCTGTAAAGGCCTTATGCTATAATAGCAAATATTTTGAATGTGATCGTCATGACATTTTTGTACAACTTAAATCATAACTTAAGGCATACGAAACATTAAAAAAGATCATTAAATCGTTGTATTATATTTTATATTAAGCAGTAGTTTGTGTCCTTCCTCTTATAAATGTCTGGCAAACTTTATGACAATTAGCATACATGTTAGTTAGAGGGTATAGTTTTATATGCTAGCTTTAATTCTTATAATGTTCATATGTTCATTACGGGTATCCAACCTTGAAATTGTATATTTGTCAACCTGACAAGATCTGGATATTTTAGGAATCGGCCACATTTGACAGTAAGCTGTGCCCACAGTTTGTTAAATAACAAGAACCACCGCCGGGGAACGCAAATAAAATTAAGACAAACAAGTAAACGGTTTAAACAAATCTTCAATTAGAAAAAAA